CAACAATTAGAAATAGCAAGGGTCCTGGCCAAAAAGAGCATTTCTAACTTGACTGTCCAAGGAGGTCCAGAAAAGTGTGAAAACCTTCCAGAAACTTGGCTTTGAAAAGTCACATGAGCCCTGGATTGGAGCATGATATGGTCAAATAGAGTCTCCATTTCTAACGTCAATGTATCAAACTACAATTCTAGTGCTACATGGCTTCATCCGGGTGTTGAATGTTTAACTGCAAGCTTTCTTAGACACTGTACTATTCAAAGTTCTCTAGAGGAGCAGAACCCACAAAATGACTAAGTATTGAAAGGGTTTATGAGGTTGGCTCACAAGATGTTTGGATGGTCCAACAGCAGCTCCCTTCACAGTGATGAAACTGGTGCCTGCTCGATCCAGGAGGATGGACAGCTCCACCATTCCAACCTGGTGCCAAGGCGGGAAGGATGCTTGGTCTTCATATCAGCAGCCAGAAGAAAATGGATTTTTCCATCAGGGAAGAAAGGCAGCAGCAACAACAACAGGGGGAAACTGAGGCACAAGGGCAAGCAGGCAAGGAGCAAAGCTATCCCCTGGGACCTCCTTCCTTGTGACTGTTGTGGTGTTTTGAATAAGAATGCCTCCCTCCACAGGTTCATATATTTGAATCCTTAGGGTTTTTTTGGGGTTTATTTTTTTTTTGAGGAAGTAGGTCACTGGAGATGTGTTTTGATGTTTCAAAAGCCCATGCTAGGCCCCATTTCTCTGCCTGTGGATCAGGATGTAGCTCTCAGCTGCTACTCCAGCACCTGTCTGCAGGCTACCATGCTCCCCATCATGATGATAATGGACTAAACCTCTGAAACTGTAAGCCAGCCCCAATTAAATGTTTTCTTTCATAAGAGTCACCTTGGTCATGTGTCTCTTCACAGCCATAGAGCAGAGACTGAGACAGCTGCTATTAGAAGATGCCATGTGATGTGGATATACCCACTTTCAAATAACCGAAACAAGAAAACCCTCATACACATCAGGAGTTCACCTCTATCCAGATAATCCCTCACCTGCATTCTCAGGGGGCTAGCCTTTGTCCAGATAACCCTTCACCCTCTTTCTCAGGGGCTAGCCTTTGTCCAGATAACTCCTCACCCACTTTCTCAGGGGCTAGCCTTTATCCAGATAACTCCTCACAACCTCTTATCTCGTAGTCTTATCTCTAGCCAGTTCCTGATCCAGTCAAGTGGATGCCCAAGGTTAGCCATCAGGAATACAGATGTCCAAATGGCACTTAAACCCTTAGTGGACAATGCTTTAAAGGGCAGTACTGTTCTTATGTCAAATTTTCAGGACCCTCCTCCCGGCCCAGTCTCAGAAAGAACTCATGGGAAAACAAACAAACACTGACACCAGAAGATGCCTTGGGCATTGGAAACTAAGAAGGATACAGGCATGGAGCTATAATCTTTACTGTATTTCTTTACCTTTTATTCTGGGTTTGTTTTATTGTTCTGGAGTTTAAAAGTCATATAAATGAGAAAATAGTAAGATGACTTTTAAATAAAATATATATTTTTAGCAAGGTCCCTGTGAGAATTACTGAATACCCCTAGACATCATTTTAACTTCTACTGGAACATCTCTTGCTAGTATTTTTTTTTCAAACTGAAGTAAAGCTTGTATACAATAGACCTCAAGGATATTACATTAACACATAGTGGTTTTAAGAGGTGTACGTCTGTGTGGACAGTAGGCCCCGGTATACATGTAGAATTATTGAAGAAACTAGGAAACTTCTTCAAGCTGCTGGATAAATCTCACCTATTAAAAGACAGTGCTGTTGTGACATCAGATTCTAGGAAGATTTGAAAAACATTTGTAATACTGTTGTTCACGTGGGCTCTGATGTTTTGTGATTAATTTCCATTGCTCTTTTTGTTGGGGCTTAGTCTGGTTTTATGAGACATAGTGTAATTTGTAGTCCTGGCTGGCCTGGAACTAATTTTATAGTCCAAGTCCATCTAAAACCTGTGGCAATCTTCCTGCCTCAGCCTCGCAAGTGCTAGGAATTACAGGCACCAGCTGGCACATGCCATCCAGCACTAGGGTTTTTTTAAATTACTTCCTGAGCAGTTAGGATTCTGTTTATAGATTTTTTAATATTATTTATTGTAAAACACAGACTGACTCCCTAGAACTCATGAACTCTTCCAACAACCAAGACCTGCAGCTACTCTTTGGTTCTTTTTAAAAAACAATTTTTAATACATTAGAAAAGAATGCGAGAGAGAGAAAGGGGTGGGGGAAGAGGGAGAATGTGTTTATGTGTATGTGAACACAGGTGCCACAGTGTGCTCTGAGAACTTAGAGAAAAACATATAAGAGTCAGGTTTTTTTTTTTTTCTTGTGGATCACAGGAATTGAATTCAGGTCTTCATGCTTTGCAGCAATCTTCCTTTACCTACTGAGCCATATCACTCAGCCGTTCTGTTTGGTTCTTCTATCCCTCTTCAGTTGCTGAGAAACCAGCCATTTTACCATTCTTGCCTCTCAGCTCTCCCTCTTCCGCTGTCAAGCATCAGACAGCTCTGTCACCTCTGTAGCCTGGTGTGCTGGCTGCTCAGTTGTGACAGTTGTTGCTTTTACCGCTGTCGCTGCTTTACTGTGTCTGCTTCTCCACCTCCGGAGAAAAGCCTTTTATTGGTTCTAAAGTTGCAGCAGCAGGAAATGCAGTGCAAGGGGAGTGATCCCTCCTGGCTCACCAACTGAGCAGCCAGCTTCTAAATCCAAAGAACTGGTGTTGCATCGATCACAGCAAAACCTCACACGTAAATGAAGGTATGTTTGCTCAGCATCTTCCCTTTTATGCAAAGCATAGCAGTCCTTTGGCGGGTCACCAGGGGAAGCGTTCCCTTTCTGACCTAAATAGAAATGCTTACAGGCTCTCCTTGGGTTCACAAAAGGCTTGCGATAGCACAAAGTCTTAGACAAAGAGTTTAAAACCACCCTGGTTAAGGTTGCACCTTATGAAACCAATGCAAGCACCTGTGTGGTTTCCTCTAGGTGTTTAGGGAGGGTACAAAGCAGTCAGTGGTTGTGTAAGGATAGTCCAGCTAGCTGTTGACTGGCCATCCTTTTGCTTAAAGCGCAAAAACAGAAAGGGATAGACTAGCAGCTGCCACCTAGGAAGTGAAACTTCCCATTCCCCGATGTTTCTACTCAATACTGAACAATGAACAGCAGAAGGCTATTGCACAAAAACTTAAATTTTTATCATTAAATTAATGATGTTTTTAACAGCACTTTAATAATTCTTAACATCTGATCACTAAAGAGTAGTGGGTCTTCCTCATTTGTCCCTCAAAGAGACATCAGTGGAGCAAACAGTTGTAATTAGATGTAAAGGATATGGTAGAAAAAGGGAAGCTTAATCTGTGTTGATGGCAGATTAAGAAAAGGCTTCTCTAGTTGAGGATGATAAAAGCACCTGGCTAGCATTTAAGAGGTATTGGGTTAAATCCCTAGTCTTCTAGATAAAAAGATAGTAATGAATTCTCTCTCCCCTGTTTCTTTCTCTCCTTCCCCCCTTTTTTTCCCTCCTTCTTTTTCCTCCTACCGTAGGAGAAAGATTTGGAGAGTCACTATCAATTGCCATTCTATAGTCTTTTATATATGAACCAAAGCAAAAGAAGTGACCAAATTCTTACACATCATCAAAAGATAAAAATAATGGAGCTGGGCTAGGGTGGTGCATGCCTTTAATCCCAGCACCTGGGAGGCAGAGGCAGGAGGATCTTTGTGAGTTTGAGGCCAGCCTGGTCTACAAGAGCTAGTTCCAGGACAGCTAGGGCTGTTACACAGAAAAACCCTGTCTCGAAAAAAAAAAAAAAGTTCTGAATTGTACAAACATCTGTTATTGTCATCATTATTACCATCATCATAATTTAGATTCATACATAAAACTTTGTACAGTGCTGAAGACATAATTAGTGGTAGCACATTTACCATGAAGAAAACCCGGGTATGATCTCCAGCACCCCAAACATGCCAAACAATCAAAATTGCCAGGGAGATGGCAAGCTTGATGACCCAAGTTCCATCCTGTGATACCACAGTGGAGAGGAGGAGATACTACTGCTGAATGTTGGCCCCTGACCTTCACACATTCGGGCTCACATACATCAGACACACATGTAATAATAATTATCATAGATATGTCATAATATATTAGCATATATATGCTAAATGTTACAAATGTTAAACATGAAGCCCGGTGTGCATGCAGAAAAAATGTGGCTCGGAGAAGACAGGTGAGGCCTCTAACAATCTCCTTCAAGTTTTGACATAAAATCTTCTGCTTTGGTTTCTTCCTTTTTAAAAGGGTGGCCATGGTTATTGAAACTACAACATGAGATAAACCACATACAAAAGTTGTGTGCAGACAAATAAAGTCTCTGTTGCTCCACTCATTGTGTCCTTATATGAAAGTGGTAATGGATCTACATAACGAGTTTCTTATGAAGTGTGACACTGATTAACAAATGTTGGTTATTGATATTATTAACCTACGCCCCACATGGAGCCTAGAGCAGTGCACCTAGTAAGCACATATTATAGTTTTTTAAAAATTTTACTTTGTGTGCATAAGTATATATGCTTGCATGTACCTACGTACAGTACGTACGTGCCTGATGGTCATGGAGTTCACAAGAGGGCGTTGTATTCCCTACAACTAGAACTAGTCATGGTTGTGAGATATCATTTGAGTACGGAACTGAACCTGGGTTCTCTGCAAGAGCAACAAGGGTTCTTAATCATTGAACCATCTCTCCAGTCCCACATGTTATACTTTTGCAGGATGATTTATGAATGGAAGATTTGGGCCTTCTTACTCAGCCGCGCCCCAGCGCCCCCTCCATTCCTACCCCGTGAGCCCTGAGATTCAGTGCCGGTTGGACCGCCAGACACCGGAACCCAAAGCATGGGCAGTGCAGCGCCGCCCGAGCTTCTTTTTCCCTGCACAGAGGCAGGAAGTAGCGAGGGCGGGGACGGCGCTGAATGTCGGAGGCTGGAGGAGGCCTTCTCTGCTAAAATGCTGCTCGATTTGTCCGAGGAGCATAAGGAGCACCTGGCCTTCCTACCGCAAGTGGATAGCGCAGGTAAGGGAGTGCGGGATGCATGCGGCCGGGGACAGCCCTGGGTCCAGCCTGACACTTACGGCCTCCTGACTTCCGTTGCAGTGGTCGCCGAGTTCGGGAGGATAGCGGTGGAGTTCCTCCGACGGGGATCTAACCCGAAGATCTACGAAGGCGCCGCCAGTAAGAAAGGGAGGAGACAGGCTCTGTCTGTTGAACTGGAAAGTGCTATCCAATCCCTTTTGCTCAGTCCGGCAGGGACCTTAGCAAGACCTAGGGTCTTGTACCCATTGCATAGCCGTTAACCAGGGCGCAACCTCTGCAAGTAATTGAGATTTTAAAGCTCACAATGAATAAATAAATAAATAAATAAGTGCCTTCGTATTTTAAATAAATACAGTGCCACCTGCTTAGTAAATACTGCACGCTCATGAAGTGGAACTGTCAGATTAGCTGAGCACTTCATTCAAGGATTCAGTTAGCGTTTACTGCTGCCCTCAAGCCGCCGTTATGGAAGACAGAGGGGGTGGTGGTGTGGTTAAGAACATCCCTGTTGAGTTCCTTTTCTGCCTGGCTTGAAGGGGCTGTGTGTCCCTGTTCACAGGTCTGTATTTCGTTATGGGTGGTTGGAGAGAAATACCGAAGGCATCTGGTTAGTGGGGTGGGTTGAGAAGGAACAGGAATCTCTGTTTAACTCACTTTTCATTAAACTGTTTGAAAACTTAGGGTAATTAAACGTGTTTTTTGTCTGTTTGTTTTCAAACAAAAGGATAATCTTTTCATTTTTTTCTTTTTTCCTTAGGGAAACTCAATGTGAGTAGTGACACTATCCAGCATGGTGTGGAAGGATTGACATATCTTCTTACTGAGAGCTCCAAGCTCATGGTAAGGCTTCTGAGAATGGTATTGTATTACCCAGATCCTTTCACACAGGCACCTGTTATAAATTGGTAACTCATAATCGAATTTCTGCAGTATACCTAAACGGTAGTGTTAAGAGCATTATCTAATAAGAATGCCTCTTGCTAATATAAATTAGTAACTCATAATCGAATTTCTGCAGTATACCTAAACGGTAGTGTTAAGGGCATTATCTAATATAAATGTCTCTTGCTAGTATAAATTGTAAAATTCTGTATCATATGCCACCATGTGTGTATCCGAGGAGAGAGGAGAATGAAATATTGCATTTCTTTATGTATCAGCAGTCAGTATTTGGCTTGATGGAAAAATAGTCAATAAAATTCTCTGTCTTAATTGTATTTTTTTTTTGCCCTCTCATCCCATTTATTAAAGAAACAGTAAGAAAAGAGACAATGCAGGAAAAACACCAACCATCCTTCACATCAGGCCGAACGAAGCACATTGATTCCCCCTTTCATCCCTCCGCCCTCAACTCATCCCTCAATTCCCATCCACATCAGTTTAAGTACCAGTGGAGAGGGAGCTGGATGATCGGAGGAGCCTTAAGTCTAGCACCTAAATCTGCAGGCCCAGTCAGGCAGAAATGTGTGGGTCTGTGACGTGAGTGTCCACCTCCCCATTCTGTGTTCAAGCCCCCCAGGGAAAGGTCTGGCAGTAGAACACGACCAGGTCCAGGGTGATCAGGTCAGAGTTACTGAAGCATGGTCCGCTCACCAATGCATCATGATCAGACAGCAAGTGAGCTAATTCTCTTGTGGTGAGCGGGGGAATTAGGACCTGCAGGCCAGTATATCCCTGAGGAAAAGTCCACAAGAACAATTCAAGAAACTAGTAAGAAACAAGGGGCAGAAAGCTGTGGGACAACAGCACAACAGGCGTCCAGAAGGCCAGAGATGCTTTTTCTTGAGGTCAGGATCATTCGATCTGCCATAGTCCATGTCTCACAAATAATAGTTTGCCTTCAGTCAAGAGAAAAAGCAGAGGAAAAAGAAGGCTCATTTGAACTTGAGCCCAGTTCTTCAGACTGTAGCTCCAGATCTACTCTTATCTAAGGGACAGTCCCAGCCCAGAACCACCGTGTTTGAAAAACAAAGTGGCTCTGGAAGAAAAATGGTATTTAAGGGGGTAACATTCCATCTGGGTACAATGCATCCATGGGACCCCAGGTCTGGGGAAAGCAGCTGGATCTGAACCAGGGAGGCTGCCTCTTTTTGTATTTTAATGAGGTTATTTTGTATGTTAGTAACTTGGATTTTGGATGGTGGTCAGTGATTGTCTTTAACTGTAAGGAATGTTGTAGACAGAATGTTTGTGTTTAGAAATATCTAACATTTACTAGACAAAGGTAAATCCCAGTGATCTGTTGAACTCAATTTTATCTTTAGATTTCTGAACTGGATTTCCAAGACTCTGTTTTTGTCCTGGGATTCTCCGAAGAACTGAATAGATTATTGCTTCAGCTCTACCTGGACAACAGAAAGGAGATCAGAACTATTCTGGATGAGTTGGCACCTCGTCTTCCCAGTTACCATAGTCTTGAATGGCGACTAGATGTACAAGTACGGCTTTTAAAAAATAACCTGGCATAGACTAGAAGAATTATTTATATGCTCTGTTATTTACCTCCTTAACCAAACTCTGGTTTGAAAAAATGTTTATATTTTAATGGTCATTTTTGGGTCATTTCACAGATAGCTCATTTCCTTTTACTTCTAATATAATTTACTAAGTTTAATTTGCAAAGGTTTTTAATTTGTTTTTATTATGTCTTTATTAGTGTATGTGCGTGGCACTTGTGTAGAGGTCAGAGGACAACTTTTGTTGTCCTGAGGGACTGAATTCAGGTTATCAGGCATAGCAGAAAGTGCCCCAGGCCACTGAACCATCCTAGAGGCCCCAATTTGTAAAGTTTTAAAGAAATCATTTTAAGAAAAGATGATTTAAAAAAACAGTTGTTTGTGGGGTTTTGTTTTTGTTTTTGGCAATGCCTTTTTTTCTTCAGTCATTTCTCCGGAACATGAAACCCACAAAGGAAAGTGTCCAGATCTCTGCACTCAGTGAGTTACTACATAGTCACATATGCGTAACGTGGACGTGACCATGACCAGCACCCCACAAACATCTTTCTTACCTCTTACCAGTGCTCGTTTCCTCCTTCCCAAAGGTACCCAGCATCTAAGATAGGACACAGATTTTCCTTCTAACCCCATTGAAGCTGTGTTCACGTGCAGGGGTTGAGGCGTCACTCATCTGTAGGCTGTAAGAGAGTAAAATAGGTTACAAAAATTTGGTGAGAGTTTAGATATAACGTAGCAGACACTGGGAAACCATGTAGATCTTGGATAAACATGTAAAATTGAAGCAGTTGTTTAAGAAAACTAATTTGGCATCATTAGGTGAATCAGAAAAATGGGAATTTAGAAGTGTAAAGAATGTAAGCCTTTATAATCTTTTCCTCCTTTCTATATGGTATGCCATTTCTGTCTTACTATCTCCTTACTGTATTATATTACCTTTTTTAATTAAAGTGTATTTATTTATTCATTTATTTGTTTTGTTTCTGGGGGCAGGGTTTTTCTGTACAGCCCTGACTGTACTGAAATTCTCACTCTGCAGACCAGGCTGGCCTCGAACTCACAGAGATCCACCTGCCTCTGCCTCCCAAGTGATGGGATTAAAGGCGTGCGCTTTTTATCCTGTTTAAGGAATTTTTTTCATACTATGAGGTTTCATTTACAATACCAGGTTTTTTTTCTTTGCAAAAGTTTTAAAGTTTACTTTTCATTTTAAAGTTTGTGATTCATCTCATTTTATTTTTAACCTGGTACAGTGTAATTTAGAAGTTACCTGTGCAGCATACTTACTAAAGAATAACTGCTCTTTCTGTGTCTCCAAGCTTGCAAGCAGAAGTCTCCGGCAACAGATTAAACCAGCAGTGACTCTAAAGCTGCACCTTGATCAGAATGGCGACCACAGCACCCATCTTCTGCAGACAGACCCAGCTACCCTGCTCCATTTGGTTCAGCAGCTGGAGCAAGCGCTGGAGGAAATGAAGACAAGCCACTGCAGGAGAGTAGTCCGCAGCATCAAGTAGCTCCGAGGTGCAGGTGGCAACCCAGGCATGGCTGTAGTACATCTGGATTTCATGGACTTTCTTTTCTGGTTCAGGATGTTGAATTCTTGATTGAAAGTACAGTTCCTTTCTGGTGCTAAGTGCAGTCAGCTTCTTCACAAATTGAGAAGTATTTTGTATTTTAAGTGTGTAAGTAGAATGGACTTAACTAAAATGAATCTATACTGATCATGTCTTCTGTGTATATGTGATTCTCCTGGAATATTGTTCATGTCTTCTGTGTATACGTGATTCTCCTGAAATATTGTTCATGTCTTCTGTGTATACATGATTCTCCTGGAATACAGTTCATGTCTTCTGTGTACACATGATTCTCCTGGAATATTGTTCATGTCTTCTGTGTATACGTGATTCTCCTGAAATATTGTTCATGTCTTCTGTGTATACGTGATTCTCCTGGAATACTGTTCATGTCTTCTGCGTACATGTGATTCTCCTGGAATACTGTTTATGTCTTCTGTGTATATATGATTCTCCTAGAATACTGTTCATGTCTTCTGTGTATACGTGATTCTCCTGGAATAATGTTTATGTCTTCTGTGTATATGTGACTCTCGTGGAATACTGTTCATGTATTCCATGTACATGGGACTCAACTCTCCTGGCTTGGGTATTTTTTTTGTCTGTTTTATTTTCTTTTTCCTTGATAAAATTTGAAAATAAGATTCACTGTTAGTTAGAACTATTTCTAGACAGTTCAGTATCTTTTACTTCTAAAAGCACTGTACGATTATAACCATAGAAAAAGATAAATAGGATTTTTTACAAGATTGTGTATATTATTACAGGTAGCTTGTATATTCTTGTTTGTATATGAAGATGGCAAATAGCAATTATACCATATTGCTTACATTTTAGTTACTGATATACAAATTTCTGTGGTCCTATCATGCATTTTATCAGGAACTAGGGCTGGGTGGTGGTGGCACATACCTTTAATCCCAGCTCTTGGGAGGCAGAGGCAGGCGGATCTCTGTGAGTTCGAGGCCAGCCTGGGCTACAAGAGCTAGTTCCAGGACAGACTTCAAAGCTACAGAGAAACCCTGTCTCAAAAAAAACAAAACAAAAAAGTATCAGGAACTAATTTCCCACGTTCCCAAAGCAATTAAAAGACACATCATCATTTACATTTATAAATAATGAATAGCTAGGCGGTGGTGGCGCACGCCTTTAATCCCAGCACTTGGGGGACAGAGTCAGGCAAATTTCTGTGAGTTCAATGACAGCCTGGTCTACAGAGCGAGTTCCAGGACAGACTCCAAAGCTACTGAGAAACCCTGTCTCGAAAAACAAAAAATTAAATAAGTAAATATGAATGAATGAATAAAGAAAGAAAGAATATGAGTGGTTTGATTGGTTCTTTTTTTAAATTTTGTGTGTATAGGTATTTTGCCTACATGTATGTCTGTGCCCCATGAGTGTTCAGTGCCCCCAGAGGCCAGAAGAGGGTATTGGATCCCATGGAACTAGACTTAGAAAGGGTTGTGAGCTTCCATTGGGTGCTAAGGCTCAAATCCAGGTCCTCTAGAATAGCAGTCAGTGCTCTTAAAAGTCAAACCATCTCTCCAGCCCCAGAACAGTTTTTTTATAATATTTAGTGTGTGTGTGTGTGTGTGTGTGTGTGTAGTTCTCTCCCACCCTGTGGGGCTTGGGAATAGAACTCAGGTCATCAGGCTTGTTGACAAATCGTTTTTACCCAGAGTCATCTCAAATGTATAAACATACTTTTTAATTACTCTGAGAACTCAGTTAAAGAAATTGTCATATTAACAAACCCACAAACTCATAAAGCCATGAGTTAGCAGTGCGTGTTGCTGGGCTAACGTTAGCCTGCCTGCCAAGCTTTGCGACAGCTCTATGAGGCTTGCTCGTCCCCACCAATACTGAGCCATTAGCACGTGTCCCTCCAAGCAACCTTTCTTCCACCTCTTGGGCCATTACTCTTAGCTCAATCACAAGATGAAAGCAACTGGGCAGAGTCCTACATGCCTGTAATTCTAATGCCTGGGAGTTGGATTTCAGTGAGTTCCAGGCCAGCTTGGTCTACATAACAGGATCTAGAAGTTTGTAACTGAGCTATCTCCCCAGCCCCTTTCATGTTTTACTTTAATACTGTCTGAACATTTTATTATTATCTTATGTGTCTGGATGTTTCACTTGCGTGTTCATCTGTGCAGGGTATGTGAACATTGTGAAGCGCAGAAGAGTACATCAGATCACAGTATTACACTGGGGGGCTGGGGAGGTTGCTCAGTTGGTAAAGTGCCTCCCATGTAAGCAGGACTACCCTAGACTGAATCCCCAGCACCCACATGAAAAGTTGGGCATTGCATCATATGGTTGTCACCCTAGCCTTTGGTTGGGGGAGGCAAAGACAGGTCGCTCCCTAAAGGTTGTTGTCCAACCAGCCCAGCTAAACCGGTAAGCTTCACTTTCAATGAGAGACCTGCCTTAAAAAATAAGGATGAAGAGCAACTAAGGAAAGACACTTGACATCAGCATGGACATATACACAGAAGTCCATACATGTACACCCACACACAAACAAAAAGTAGCAAATAAAGTTTAGGATCAACAACCATATTTCTGCATGTGGACTAAATGGAACTATGTATATATAATATTTAGCATGGTGCCAGGCTTTCTTTTAAGATTTATTTTAGCAAAGTGGTGGTAGTGCATGCCTTTAATTCCAGCACATGGGAGACAGAGGCTGGCAGATCTCTGAGTTTAAGGCTAGCCTGATCTACAGAGTAAGTTACAGGACTAGCAGGTCTACACTTGAGAAACCCTGTCTCAGAAAAAAAAAAAAAGCTAAGTCAAAATGAATCAAGACAAAAAAATCACCTAAAAGTTGATTAAAATCATTAACCTATTAAATATCTATGCACATATAGATATAAATATAAACCCATTATGTTTTTGAAACTTTTAAAAAAATCATGTATTTATTTTTGTTTTATGTGCATTGGTGTGTTTTGCTTGCATGTATGTCTGTGTGAGGATGCCAGATCCCCTGGAACTAGAGTTCAGACATTTGTTAGCTGTCGTGGGTGGGGGTGCTGGAAACTGAACCTGGGTCCTCTGGAAGAGCAGCCAGTGCTCTTAACCACTGAGCCATCTCTCTAGATCCCAGTACCAGGCTCTTAAAAATATTCAATAAATCTTTACCATTATCTAACAGTGGAGACTAAGGGTCTTGTTATTTTATATTTTGCATTATACTCAATATACTCTAAGAACCTGAGCAATGTGCTAACTCTGGTAGTAACATTATGAGTATTTTTTCTTAATTTCTATTGTGAGTTTGGATGACTTGCAGAATGGTGTTGGAAAAGCAGGGTCAGAGACTGTATTTACATAATATATATATATATATATATATATTAGACAAGCTGAATAAACCTGTTATTCTTCATCTTTACAAGATATCATGAAGACAATGATACACTTTTTACACTAGGATGTGTATTTAATGATATTTATATTTGTTGACTGATTTGTTTGATTTTCTGAGACAGGATCTCACTGTGTTACTAAGTGGCCTTCACACTCTTTTTCCTGCCTCAGTCTCCTGAGTACTGATTGTATATTCATCAGATAACTGGTATGATATGCCAGATAACTCCATCTGAATCTTCTTTTTTTAAAAAGATTTATTTATTTATTATGTATACAGTGTTCTGTCTGTCTGCTTGCTGTCCAGAAGAGGGCACCAGATCTCATTACAGATGGCTGTGAGCCACCATGTGGTTGCTGGGAATTGAACTCAGGACCTCTGGAAGAGCAGTCTGTGCTCTTAATCGCTGAGCCATCTCCCCAGCCTCCTCCATCTGAATCTTCTTGACAGCAATCCATCCAGTCTGCCGGCCATACAGGGCCTATAGGCCAGTTTTATTTTCTTAAATAGACCTTCAAGTACAAAGGAACGACAGGAATAAAAATTCTTACACTAATTAATACACTCTAAAATTGGTTTTTAGACGGGTGTATTGGCAACCACCTTCAATCCCAGCACTTGGGAAGCAGAGGCAGACAGATCTCTGAGTTCGAAGCCAGCCTGGTCTATAGAGTGACTTCCAGGATAGCCAGGGATACACAGAGAAACCCTGTCCTGAAAAAATAAACTGGGTTTTCACTTACATTGTTGCCATTCTAAACCCAAACAACTCTTTACAAGATGGATTATTTGTCTAATTTTAATGTAAATCATGGTTTTTAATCCTTATAAATATTGCTAACTACATGGCTGTCGAACTGACAGCTTATGCTCTTTGCTTGAACTTGAATTTAATTTGCTGAATTTTAGTGGCAAAGGATCAGTACAGAGGGTAAGTGTACCCCGAGTGGATGTGTGTTGTCGACATCAGCGTGGCAATGCCAAGAACATGCCTCAGCCCCATGGAAATGGCAAAGCCTTCCCAGGTCAGGCTCAAGGGGATGGCAAAGCCCTCCTATGGTCTGTGTGTGGATGATGATAGCGTACGCAGGAAATGTCCACCATCGCTTGCTCCCCTCAGCTGTTCATGGCCTGGAGACTGCTTCCCCGTAGAGCCTGCTCCCATTGACATTAGCTAAACTGCCTCTTAGTTATGTAGTGTGTGATAACCCCGCCTTCTTGTTTATATCTTTAATAAGCCCCTTCCTTGTTCAGCTGATGGGACAAGCCCACCTCCCTGTTCAGCTGGAACTCAATAAACACACCGCTATTCCGGGGTATTGTCGTGTCTCCATTTGAGATCCCAGGCCACCCAATCCCAGGTTTCTGTGTCAATGTATCTGTCATTTCTTTAGTGCCTTAATTCCCTCATAGATGGTAGTCAGGGTTCTGGGACCAAAGCCATCGGAGACTAAGGTAGACTATAGTAGATTATACTGTCTTTTCATTTTCATGTTTCATAGAAGAGTTTGCCCAGCAAGCAGGTAAAAAGAGAAACAATGGAACCAGCCACATGAAATTTATATCTTTTTCCCCATTCTTTATTTTCTTAAAGGTATAATCCACTTATTTATGGTATGCACACATGGAAAAAAAAACCATAGAGCGATATAAAACCTTTCTAGCTCCTTCTTAGGCACACAGAGGGTTCAATTTTGTTAAATATTTATGACATTCTTGGAGGGGTCCTTGTGTGTGGAATGAAGGGTAAAGTCTTACTTTTCCGGTTTAGTATGCTCAGCTCATTCCACTCTGCAGGGCTGTTTCACCTAAGTTCCTTAGGCTGTGGAACAGACTTCCCCAAGTGCTGCTGTGGACGAAGTGATGCCTCTGCCTTGTCTGGGGGCAGGACGTTCCCAGCAACTGCACAGCCATCCTGAGAGCAGAGCGGAGCTAGCGTGCTCGCTTGGGTGGCCAGAGCCTAGCCGCCTTCAGAGGAACGCAGGTTCCTTGTGGGAAGGTGTGGGCGCGGAGAGCGTGGCAGAAATGGTCCTTAGTCCCTTTCCACCGAACTGAGGTTCCGTGAGGTAACCAGAGGTGTGATGGGAAAAGCAAATTGAGCTCTTTTTTTTTTTACCTGCATGCCAATGTTGCGGTTGTCATAAATCCAATGAGAAGTGGATGCCTGTGGTTATAAAGGAATGTGCTTAGCTCACAGAATAAAAATACTCCGTGGTTAACTCAAAGACTAAACCCACAGATTACAATTCGGAGAATGGGGAAAAGAAAACCCAGACTAACAGAATCTCACTGAGGCAAGTAGAGATGGTTAGAAAACGGGGGGTGTGCTTGAAAAACGGTCCAGTCTTTGCTGAAACATATAAAACACGCCTCAAAAGAAGAGCTGAAGAAAGATTGTAAATTCTTGTTCTGCTGTTTCATTTGTCAGGGTTTTATTGTTGAGACAGGGTGTCACTATGTATCCCTGGCTAGGTCATAGCCCAGGTTAGTCTAAAACTCACAGAGCCTCTATGGTGTGTACCATCACACCATGCCTGTTTGTTAGGGTTTTTTTTTTTTTTGTCTTTTTTTTTGTCTTTTTTTTTTTTATTTTTGAGACAGGGTCAAGAACAAAACTTGCACACGGTTTTCTTGTTTGCTGTAACCAGTGACCTTACCAAGTTCATGTCGGTCTTCTTTTCCTTTAGTGAAAAGACATTTAAGACATTCAGTCTTCAGTTTCCACTGAATTCCAAGAGTAAGACTCCCACTTGGATAAATGGTTTTTAGCCCAACCTGCCTACTAGAATCATGTAATAGTTGTAAAAAACAAACAAACAAACAAACAAACAGAGCCTGGAGAGATGACT